ATTCTTTAAAAGAAAATTACCAGTTTACTAATCATATGGCTAAAAGTGACTTTCAAGGCCACTTTTCACTTTTCAGAGATCACTAAAAAAGGGTGTTCCATCATTTTGTACAGGAACCTGTTTATAGTTTGCCAATTATCAGTAAATGGTTCCTACAACGTCCCCATACTAGCCCAGCCAGATTTGAGCCTATTAAAGAATTTAGACACTGGCCTCCTGATCAAGGAGCTAACTGAGGCATGAGCAGAAATTATATACAGAGATGGATATTGAAGTTGCATGGTTTCAATGTAGATTTACTCTGTAGAAACATGCTTTAATACTGACCTGACAGATCAGAGATTAGTTGTGACAGAAATCTGACAGAACTTAATAGTATCTGGGGGCTAAGGCAGAGGGGAAATTTTATATGGCATGGATTCCAAGCCGTTTTCCAAGAACACAGGAGAAGGGATGCTAGTGAAATGGAGAGCTCACAGGCCATTGCAGTGAAGAGGTCCCCTGGGCAGTTGTAAGGACAGTCTAGAGCTTAGGGCCGAGCCCACGGTAGCCACCACATAATGGCGATCACTGTGAGTGAGAAGAGACGAGGCCCAGATCTTAGGGAGTTACTACATTTAAGGCAGAAGAGGCAGACAAGATCTAGAGAAGGAACACTGAGGGAAGCCAGTGGAGAATAACGAGTGTCAGTAAGGTAGAGCAGCATCAACTTTGTTAAACGCTGCTGTGAGGGGAGAGATAGTGACTGAGGGCTAAACACATAGTGGTGATAACGGATGAAGTTTTTCTTCTTAGGAAAAAAGACCTTGTGATGTTAGCTTTTGAAGCTGGCTACTATGTGGGCAAATAAAAACACCAGAAAGTAACTTTCATTTAATACTCAGCTTGGCCAAAGTGTTTTCTTATCCTTCAATTTATACGTATGCTTGAACCTTAGCTGTCCCCTCAAAACCCTCAACGGAATCTTCAGCGCAGCAATGCGCTTCCCATCCCCTCTAGGGCTTTGTGTGAACACTTCTGTTTCAGCAGGTTTGGGTTGCTGTGTGTCCTGACTTGGCCTTTCCTCAGCTGTGAAAGAGGTTGTCCATCTGGGCCTTCTCCTGCCCGCTTGTGTAGACCCTCGCTGGATTTTCAGATGAGGCTCTGCTCAGGGGGCCACTCCTTCCCGACCCAAGGGCCTGATGGTTGCAGAATAACTTTCCGGTTGTCTGAGTGCCCCAGGAATGCTGTCATCTTTGGGGAATTTTATAAATGATGGCTATCTTAGTCCACGAGAGCATTGTAATTTCTCAGAACATTTACTGTATGTTCTGTCCTCACTTGATGGCAGCAGTTAGCTCCTAACCAGTTCATTTTCATGGCACTAGGTAGTCTCGCCTTTCATTTTTGCCTGGTCTTAGCTCCCCTAACCCCAGGCTTTTTTTCGTTCTAAGAAAATTTGTAGCATCCTTGTGTTGGGTCCATCCATCCTGTAAGTCGGTGGTGACCTTTGTGGTCTTCTTGGCAGAGCTTCACGTGGCACTCCTCTTACTGGATTTTGTTCATGGTGTTCTGCTCACTTCGTCCAGTACTGTTACTCACGTTCACCTTCTCTGTTCTCCGTATTTGTCAACAGAGGAAGAATGGCCTGATGGATCATGAAGATTTCAGAGCCTGCCTGATTTCCATGGGTTATGATCTGGTATGACAGAAACTGATATTTTACTAAGATTTGACATTTTATTGAGATTAACTTTATGTTTTAAGAAATAAATAACTTAAAGCTTGTTATAGTACTGTAGCACATTTGGAGCCTGGTGGTGAAGTGGTTAAGAGCTTGGCTGCTAACCAAAAGGTCAGCAGTTTGAATCCACCAGCTGCCCCTTGAAGCCCTATGGGGCCGTTCTACCCTGTCCTGTAAGGTCACTATGAGTTGGAATCGACTGACAGCAACGGGTTTTTTTTTTTTTTAACGGGTAGCACATTTAAAGAGCCCTGGTGGCACAGTGGTTAAGCGCTTGGCTGCTCCCTGAAAGGTCGGTGGTTTGAAACTACCAGCCACTCCCCAGGAGAAAGATGTGGCAGTCTGCTTCTGTAAAGATTACAACCTTGGACACCCTATGGGGCTGTTCTACTCTGTCCTAGAGGGTCGCTTTGAGTCCGAATCCACTCGACAGCAATGGGTTTTTTTGAGGGGTAGCACATTTAGAAATGATTTCATTTTCATTGTATAGAAAAATGTTTTTTGAAGATGTAGACACCTGCTTTCACAGAGTCAGAAGATAATATTTTTATTCAGTAATTGGTCAGATTTTTTTAGTGATTTTTTTTAAAGAACACCTTTATCGAGATTTAATTCACACATTTAAAGTGTACAGTTCACTGGTTTTTAGTATCCTCACGGCTCTTTGGAAACCCTGGTGGCACAGTGGTTAAGAGGTACGACTGCTAACCAAAAGGTCGGCCGTTCAAATCCACCAGCCACTCCCTGGAAACTGTGTGGGGCAGTTCTACTCAGTCCTATAGGGTCACTATGAGTCGGAATCGACTCAACTGCAACGGGTTTGGTTTTTTTTTTTTTTTGGCGGGGGTAGCTCTTTAACATTTTTTTCCTCTAATGTTTTAGAAGGTAGAAAGTTTTTCCTAATAAATCAGCTAAGAAAAGTGTAGAAAAGAAAACTGCGGTAGTTCCAGTGCACCTCCACACCTCTGCTACCCAATAATGCATGTTTTGAACCCTTTCAGACCTTTAAAATAAAATTAGAGCCATCTTGTAAAGTCTTCTATTTAGCAATAGTAGTCTTCTCAGTTGTACTCTGAGAAAAGGCCCAGTGCTGTCTTCCATAATCACATTAATGCCTGAAGGGACATGGGACCCGAGAGGGAGGATTCTCTGGCTCAAGGCTACACAGCTCTTAAAGTACTTGATGGCAATAAACCTATGTCACCCATACTGGAAGTCCTTCCCAAAGGAAATCTACCAGTTGCCACTGAGTCAGTTCCGACTCAGGGTGACCGTGTGTGTGTCAGAGTACACCTGTGCTCCATAGGGTTTTCAGTGGCTGATTTTTTTGGAAGTAGATCACCAGGTCTTCCTTCTGAGGAGCTGCTGGCTGGGCTCAAACCTTCAGTCTTTTGGTTAGCAGCCCAGCGAGGTAACTGCTTGTCCCTGCAGGGACTCCAAAGGGAAACACGGAATATTTAAATTTCCAAACGAAAAGGAACTTGCATGTCAGTAGGTAAAAGAGTAAGAATCACACTGCTGGGAGTTGTGTCTTGTTGAAGTATATGTTTCTTTGTAACCCTGCCTCAGGGCGAAGCTGAATTTGCCCGTATCATGACCCTGGTTGACCCCAACAGTCAGGGCACTGTCACCTTCCAGTCCTTCATTGACTTCATGACGAGAGAGACGGCCGACACCGACACTGCTGAGCAGGTCATCGCCTCCTTCCGCATCCTGGCCTCTGAGAAGGTCTGCATTTCCAGATGGCCTTCTCTTTTAGCAACAGTCCCCTGTGTCATTCTAACAAAAAGGAAACAGCTTTATGAGGAAAAACCATTTTCATACTAGTGCATTTTGAATAGGATCAGCACTAAATTCAGAAAGTGGTGGGTAAACATCGCAGTCACATACCCAGAAGAGAGAAAACACAGTCTCTTCTTGGCATTTGTGCTTGAGGCTCACATTGAGTTTTACTGAAGGAACCAATAAGGTGTCTTTTGTAGGGTTTTTGTGTTTTACTGGTTCAACCCCATTTTGCATTCTGGACTGGCAGATTGGACTTAGAAAGAAAATACCATACCATTCGGATGTTACGGAACCAGGAACCTTCCCTTAGGGATCTATGGCCTTGGCTTTGTGTCCAGCCACGGGAGCAGAGTGAAATACAGCCATTGAATCATTTAAAAAATTGGCAAGCTCTTCACTATGCATAGCTTCGAAATTAAGTAGGAGTTTAACTGCAAGTTCAGAATTTTTGAATTTCACTCCCAAAACAATAAACACATCTCAGTATATATAAATTCAATTTGGGACATGATTCTTTTACCCTTTGTTCTAGCTGAGAGGGAAAACAACATCACCACAAAGAAGTAAGGATACTGAAACACATCACAGAGCCTAAGCCTTAAAAGAATTAGACAAGATAACCTGTCTTAATCATGGGGTTATCACTGATCATGGGGATGGAGGAGAAAGCACCCAGCTGATTTAGATGGTAATAAACAATGGCTCACCCAGCCCTCTAAAAAACTCCTACTGTAAATTACACCATGGTATTTTCGATTTATTTATTTTGACTCTTACCAGCCAGTCTGCTTTACCAGAATTGTCTGACTTCCCATTGGACATTTGACTCTTAAAAAAAAAAGTTGCATTGTTAGATGTGTTTTATCTTGTTTTCAAGAGTGGTATTCTTCAGTGGCAACATAGTTCTAGTTTTTAGTAAGCATAGTAGGAGAATGATTCCAGTTCTGAAAGCACATAGCATATACACTTAAATATCCCTATACTCTGAACCAGGTGTGATTTTTGTCCCTGTCCCTTTGTCCTTATACCTTTCTGGTATGAGAGTGGGTCACAATATTTATCACTCACATTATGGCTTAGCTTGGGAAATATTGGTGATAAAGCTACATTTGCCTTTATGAAGTATGTATCAATTCCTGCTGGCAAAACGGGGAATCACCTTGCAGATACGCTCCTACACAAGACTCAGCTTTTTGTTGGTTGTCTGGCACCCTACCTATTAGACTCACCCCTCCGCCTTTAATCCTTTCTTTAGAAATATTAAACAAATGCAAGAAATGTGTAAATATTAAAACCTTTTATGTTCCAATGTTTTCTGGGATTGATTTTACAAACACTTGGGTACTCTTTTCCAGCCATACATTCTGGCAGAAGAGCTGCGTCGTGAGCTGCCCCCAGACCAGGCCCAGTACTGTATCAAGAGGATGCCGGCCTACTCGGGCCCAGGCAGCGTGCCTGGCGCCCTGGATTACACCGCCTTCTCATCCGCGCTCTATGGGGAGAGTGATCTGTGATTCTGAGGTTCTGTAATCGTTGATCCCAGCAGAACGCAATAAAAGCTGAAGTCACAGTTTGTTTTCTGGAAATGTTGACAAGCTTTATTAAGAGGGGGAAAAAATGAATTTTGAAGCTCAGTAATTGTCAACAATATAACATGTTTGAAGTGAAGTTTCTATAGTATATGATATAGGATGCTTCATAAATAGGTGTCTTTATTTAATTTTTAGTTAAATGCAATGAAAATATCAGGTGTGTTTGTTTCTTTGATTAAACAAAGTAAATTACTTGAGTAGTGTGAAGTTAGGAGGATCTAGGGACAGAAGGAAAGTGAAAAATGTGAAAATCGAAAATATCCAAGATTCAAGAACAGGGGAAAAAAAATCACAAATTGGTAAATGTTTGATTATTTTTTAAAAATATGTTTATGTGATGATGAACCCTAGGGGGATATATTTGGGATATCAGTGTTTTATCTTCTTGCTTATCCAAAGATTAGCTATATTTAAGTATAAATGGTACTGTAGTTTCAACACTTGAATTTAATATCATGAGATGGAAATTCCAGGGAATAGCAACAGATTACCCAAAAGATCTTTTAGTACTTAAATTTTTAAAAATAGAGATTATAGTCAGCTCTTCATTATTTAGGACTAGATAGTCCAGCTAGTGAATTCTGATGCCTTACTTATTCTCCAAAATAGGGAAATGAGGAAACACTGAAGTCAGTTTAATTGCCAGAGAGGAAGATGAAGTTACTACGTAAAACAGGTTTTTTAGGAATATTTATTGATGACATGTTTTCAGGCTTTTTCTAGAGCTTGTTAGTACAGGTTCTCAAGAGATGACCTTGTGTCAGTGCTGTTTTTTAAATAAACAGATTTCTATAGTAATGATTCATAACGAGACAAGTCAGAAACCAGTATATTTATAGCTCTTCAGGCAGAACTTCTCCTTTTTGCCTTTAGTTTTATGATCTATTAAGGAGAGGGCAGAAGAGAACTTAAATAAATGGGGTTAGTAGGAAAGGACTAATTGTCAACAACAGCAGAGGTAAGTTCTTTCCTTATAGAGCATTTATATAGCTTTTGGGTGAATTCATTTTGGATAGGATAAACTGCTAGATGTTTTTACTAGTACTCAGTTTGTGGTCACCACTGCGATTTGACAGTGCGTCCTAAGTTCTGGGTCTGGTCCTCCCATTGTCTAAAACCATGCTCTGCTCCATTATAGAGGGCGGTATGTGCACACCGCACCGTTGTCTTGATCTGCTGAATGTCCGTTAGCCTTTCTGCTTATGCTACTGTAGGCTATAACTACCCCCTCTGTTTTTCCATCTTGCTGACAGCTTGTAGGGAATAAAGCAGGAATTCTTTTTATATCTGAGTCCTTAATGATCAGGAAATGAATTATAAACAAAAACAGTTGCAAACAGCAATTAAAGTGTTACTAGACAAGCAGTCTGTTTCCTCATATTTTTATAGAGTTCCGCCAACAGCTGGAAATGTTACATTTTCCATTCATAATTGTCTGGTAATGTTATACTTTTACTACATTGGCCCGTTTAGACCCTTCGACCTTTATAAATTTTATTTAATTTGCTTCATTATTAAGTAGCTGATAGCTTTCAAATTCCTGAAATATTTGAGTCCTTGAGTTTAGTGCCAAACACTTTTGAGGTGGTGTTTAGATGAACTCTTGACTCCTTATTTTATTTCAAGCAGGTGCTATATTCCAGCCATAAACATTAAGGAAAAACCTGGAAGTTGTTCTTCCTTTGAGGCTACTAGGAGGATTTGTGGTGTTTTTAGGATGGGTATGGGTAGCTCACCTACCAAAATTTTTCATTTCTATACAACATTCAGGCAAGAGAATGGATCAATATTATCTGCTGATAAACGAAGAAATAAGCTCTGAAAAACAGTTAACTTGTTTATACACTCATTTTAGAAGTTATTTTTATTTCTGAACCTGAAGTATCAATTAAACTTAATTTGTAAAAGAAAAAGAATCCCTGTTTTTTATTATTTCAAAGAATAACCAGTTTCTAACATTTCCATAATATTTAAAAACTCCTCTTTGAGTTACTATTTGCTTTTCTTAAAGAATTAGAGACTAGTATTGTTGGGTTCACCACCTATCTGTCAGTTTGTCATACTAGAAGCGATACCACCAGTATTTCAAATACCAGCAGGGTCACCCATGGTGGACAGGTTTCAGTGGCACTTCTAGACTAAGACACACTAGAAGAAAGGCCTGCTGATCTACTTCTGGAAAGTAGCCAATGAAAACCCTTTGGGTCTCAGCAGAACACTGTCCAACTCACTTGCTTCGGACATGTCATCAGGAGGGATCAATCACTAGAAGACATGTTTGGTGAAGTAGAGGGCCAACAAGGGTAAGATGGACTGGCACAGTAGCCGCAGCAGTGGACTCTTAACATGCTGGTGATTGTGAGGATGGAGCAGGGCTGGGCAACGTTTCATTCTGTTGTACGTAAGGTCGCCATGAGGCAGAGGCAGCTTGATAGCAGCTGTCTGTTGTTGGGCAGAGGATGAATTTGAGATGATGGGTGAATTAGGGTTGATCCAGTTAAAGATGAGTGATAAAAGCATTAGGAAGCTGAATAGATAAGGAAGGAATTCTTAAACCAGGAGATCACTTTGAAATCTCCAGTAGATATTAAGAAATGTGTTCATTCCCAGCCGTAATCCCAGAATTTCATATTGTGAAGGTCTGGGTTAAGGCCTGGATATCAATACTTTGTTAAAACCTCTATGGGGGTGGATGCTATTAACTTACAGTTGAGAACCACTGGATTAGAGGTAAAGGAAAGGATCATTAGTAATCAAAGTCTAAATCAGTAAATCCAACTAGAGAAGCCCTTCCAGGAAGGTTGATGGTGGGCCAATGTGAATGGCCAGGCAGGCTCCTGCACCATCTAGTTGGTGATGTATAAATGGTGGCAAAAACTGAGTGTTAGATAGGCACATTTGGCTTGGGATTCTTTCCTGCACACCTGATTCATGTGTGTGTTCATGAAATAATGAAGGTGGAGATAAGCTCTTTACAGTCTGTAAGTTACAGGGAACAAATCTAAATGATCCAAAGTCAGAAACATGTATTTTATAAAGAACTTGCTAGTTATTACAGAGCTGACCAGGATTCACCCTTGATTCCCCTGGATGATAGGACAAGAGGCACTGAGTGTGCCCGGCTGTGTCCTTGAGTGTTCTAGAGTGCCCAGGAACCTACACGGTGATTATACTGCCCTGTCTGAGGCAAGTTTACATTTCAAATGGGAATCAGGAGACAGTTTTTTCTTCTTTCTTTTTGAATTCATTACATTAATAACTCAATCTTTAAGCATCTGACTCACCATTATTCTTTTTAAGCTGGAGGCTGGGAGTAGTTGTGATTTATTAATGAGATTCCCCAGCCATGGATTCCCAATGGCCTTTAAGTCTTTCCAAATCTTTTAGAAGTTATCTTCACAGCAATTCAGACTTCCTCACTGGTAAAACAGAATGGTCAGAAGAAATGCACATGTGCATAATTCTTGTTGTATAGCTGTGAACTTCTGGGAAACCTCAGGATGGGTCTTTTCAAGACAAGCCACGAAAAATGGAAGACTAGTTCTGAATAGTAGCTGTAGAAGGGAAAAAGAGATCCTATGAATATTCAGTTTGGAAAACACTTTAGTCTATACATAATGAAATTCTATTCTGAGCAGCATTTAACTGTATAATTTCAAAATTAGTTTGATGACCAGTAAGTCAAAATGAAATCTAATTTCACCAAAATCAGATTATAATAGTTTCAGCGCTCTCACTTTCCCTTTTGGTTTTGTGCCTTCTACTCCAGGCCTTCTCCTGAATGCTCAAACCCTTCGTTTAAAAAAAAAAAAAAAAAAAAAAAAAA